CGAAAGCCGTGGAGGTTTGTCACGAATAATAAGAGGTTAGCTGATTCTTTGGGAATGTTGAAGTGCACGCATGACAAGCATGCACCCCTTGAAGGGAAGTACACTCGAAACTCAGCTTCCTACCCAGAGCCTCTTTGTCAGATCATGTTGCATGCTTTGTTTCCACATGTCGTCAATGCATGTGTTTTGCACGCCGTGTACACCTCGCGTGAATCATTCACATCGGCAGCATGTTGTCAAAGGGGTGCCATGTGCTCCCATTGATGTCCTCATGCATGAGAGTGGATGTAAGGAGTTTTTAACACCAGCATTCGTTCATCGTCTGTTGGAGCGTGCTGAATGGAAGGGTCGCCCAGAAGTTTACCTCGCCATTAAAAGCGAGAAAGATGGTTTGGTTTTGGAAGGGACTTGGATTGAAGAGGAGATTAGGTCAAAGGCAGACGTGATGAGGGAATTTCCCAATGAAACACTGCACTTCGGAGCCCTAATGGTGATCGTCAGCATAAAGGGGTATGAAAAGAACCCAGCTGAATGGAAGATCAAGGCTCGGATTGTTTTCCGAGGTGACGCAGTCAAGGATCAGGGGGGCTTGAGCGCCATCTTCCAAGATCTTGCTGCTTCCGCTCCGAGTTCAATTGCAGCATTGAACACAGTGATAGCCTTTTCAATGATCGAGGGAAACACTTGTTCAACATCTGATTGCGTCCGGGCCTATATTCAGTCCGCACTCGGCACGAAGCATCGAACATGTGTGATGCTACCGCCTCAGCTCGTGCCGGAATCCAAGAAGCATATCCAAATGCCTTGCGCGCAGCTGTACAAGAGCCTTTATGGCCATCCAGAGTCGTCGGCGCACTGGCAGGCCCATCTTTCCAAAATCTTGCAGGAAAAACTCAACGGTGTCGAGTTCAGTGAGATGCCCTCGGTTTTTCGTTTCGGTCGTTCTCTAGTGATGAGCGTCTATGTAGACGACCTCACACTCTCAGGAGTAGCCTCCGAACACGAAGGATTCTGGAAAACCCTTAAGCAGTATATAAATTTAGATCCACCGTCAGAATATGGAAGAGTCTTAGGACGAAACCATAGGCTTGTGTGGTTTCAAGCGACCAAAGCAGTGGCCTTAGAATCATCTGACTTCGCAAAACAGTGCGTTGAACTGTATGAAGAGCTTGCGAAAACGCCGGTGAAGGCCTATTCCTCACCCTCATGGGACGATGGAGCCCTGATCCCTGCTGATGACGAGATCAAGGGGCAGCTCTCGCCACATTCGGCCAAATTAATTATGAAGTTGATGTGGCTCTGTCGCATTAGCAGACCAGATGTCACATTTGCTGTCACTCTGTTGGCGAAACACATTACGGTGTGGTCGGCCAACGACGACAAAAGAGTCGCAAGACTCATTGGGTACTTGCAAAAGACCCATGAATACTCCCCGATAATGTGCATTCGTGATCCGCCAGAGCAGTTAAACTTGTCTCTATATTGCGACGCCGATTTCGGTGGTGACATCAAATCCATGCGATCAACCTCTGGATTCATCCTTGCGGTTTCGGGTCCCTCCAGCTTTGCACCGGTGAGTTGGGGTTCTAAGAGGCAAAGCGTGGTTGCAAGATCGACCACAGAGAGCGAGTTCGTCTCACTTTCCAGTGCCTTATTCTGCGAGGCTATCCCTACCTTGGAGGTATGGCAAGCGTTGATCCCAGGAATGACCCTGAAGGTTTTCGAAGACAATACGGCCGTGGTCTCGATTATCCAGAAAGGTTACTCCAATAAATTAAGGCATTTGAGTAAAACCCACCGCATAAATGTGGCCTCAACTGCCGAAACAGTTAACAATGCTGATGACATTACAGTCCAGCATATCGAAACGACTCAGCAGAAGGGCGACGTGTTTACTAAAGGATTACCGTTGCCTTGGAGTTGTTGCAGTTCTCCCTGAGTCCGCTCCCGTCTTATGATGCAGGCAGGAGCTCGCATGACTAGAGCTAAGCAATAGTCAGCCGCAGTTCAAAGCTAAGCTAGATCTGCAATGAATGAAATGGTTAAAGCTAAGCGATAACCAGCCGCAGGTTCCAACTAAGTTAGATCTGCCTTGAATGAAAGTCTAGACAATGCATGAAGCTTGCAAGAAGGGTGTCCGACTGCTTAAAGCGCCGCTCCCTAGGTCCATTCGTAAGCCTGTTGTGCTCGCCGGCAGTCTTTCGATAGGAATCGTAAGGTCACAGACGGTTCAATCAATGAAGCGACTGTCTCAGACCTGTAATTCTAGCTGTACAGTTGTTCATCACACTATGAGGGGGGACTTGAAGTTTCCCGTGTACAGTACACCTCATATGTATGCACAGTTCATGAACCACTTGTACTTTTGGCTCAAGTGGTAAAAGGTGCGCCCGCAGCCGCTGCCTCGTCGCGGTCACGGCGTACTCAACTTGTGTTGACTGTTTGGTTGTTGTTGGGTTGGTTTCCACTTCAAGTATATAATATATGATTTTCTCCAATAATGACGTTGACCGAATCTGTTGTGGGCAGCGTCTTTGAGGCACTTTGTGGTGGAATGCGGAAATGTCACAGTTGCCCAATCTCGAAAAGCAGTGATCATGACGATTTAGAATTTAGACGGGTTCTTGAAATGTGCATCCAGGGCTGAAATTGCCGGTTCTAATTGTCTTTCGTCGACCTTTCGCACTCTGAAAGCCTTCCACTCAAATTCGTTGACAGCCTGAGAGCCAACAGCGCATGGCGGTTCATGACCAGAAGGTGGATGTTTCCGTGCAGACAGAGGAGGCGTCAACATCCCTGGCATCTCAGTATCCAGCCAACCTTCTGTACGCGCAGGGCATGTTGAATACCACCCTTCTTCAGCTGCAGCAAGTGGAACTACAGATTTATCAATTGCAAGGCTATGTGCGAGAGCACCAGCTTCGGCAAGCGCAAGCGGCGCAAGCACGGGCGAAGAGGCCGGGGGGCCGCTCAAAAACACCATCTCAGTAGGTTCTTGAAAGCCGCTGCGGGAGCTAATGTTGTTTTGTCATTGTTTCCGCCTGGAGCAGTGACAAATGCAACCAGCAGGGATGAACGGTATCCCAAAAAGGCCAATCTCATCTTCACTTATTTTTGCGGCCGTTCGTTTCCCTCCTCTTCGCCTTCAGAGCAACAATTCTTTCGAGGCCAAAGATTTTCGGCCAAGAAGCAGAGGCACTCTTTGAGGCGGCCGTCGTGCTCTCGGAGATCACCGACGCTGCTCAGGCACACCGCGCGGCTCAGGAGGCACGGCAGGCCGCAGAGGACGAGGGCTTCGCGGAGGCCGATCCTGGAGAGGTCTTTGCCAGGCAGATGCAGAGGCGGATGTTTCCCTTATTTCTGAGGGCCATGGTGGCTTGGCAGACCAAACAAGGCCGGTTGCGAAGCTTGACACGTTTTTGTTTTCCGTTTTCTGATTTGAAGGGTATATGTGGGTGACCAGGAATTTTGAGACAGAAGTATGTTGCAACATAACATAATTCCTTCGTTGGAACTGGGAACAAATTGTGGCCTTTTCAGAATTTTTGTTGGAGGAGGGGTTTTATGGAACCGATTCCAAGAGACTCCCGGGCGCTTTTCTTTTCCATACCGTCTAAGGTTTTGAGCTTTGTGTTGCGGCTCTTTGAGTTGGACTGGTACATCATTTTTGCAGGGAACTGCATCCTTTTCATCAGAGAGTATTGGATGATTGCTGCGCTAACCCAAGGAGGAGCCAGAGCTGGCCAAGCAGGCGGCCAAGCTGCACCGCAACCTGAGCTTCGACATCACCTGGAAAATCAGCAGCAGCCGATGTTGAGGCAACGCTTCAGTATGCTTTTCAAGATTGCTTTGCTGATGTTCCTCATGGAGGTGAGGTGGCATTGGTATGCACCTTGAACTGAAGGGCTGTACTTTTTCCGTGAATACAGTGGGGTGATGTGGGGTGATGAATGGCCAAGCTGGCACCAAATTGGGGCAAGTATAAAGTCAAGAGTTAGGATATGTTAGGATTCTGCACCGCGAAAGGCTGCATACTTGGTGGTGGCACTGTTCTTCCTGTTTGGTGCCTTTGACAGTTGGATTGAGTGGTTCAATGGCAACGGTGGCAATGCCGACAACAACTTGGAACATCAATTGGATGCCTTACGAAGAGCACAGAACCAGCCACAGAGAGAGCCACAGAGAGAGGCACAGAGCGAGGCGCAGAGAGAGCCACAGAGAGAGCCACAGAGCGAGGTGCAGAGAGAGCCACAGAGAGAGCCACAGAGCGAGGCGCAGAGAGAGCCACAGAGAGAGGCACAGAGCGAGGCGCAGAGAGAGCCACAGAGAGAGCCTGAAACTAACGAAGGCAGGGAAGCCACCACAGCAGCTACCAGAGATGCTCGGCAGTCTTCGGATGTTTGTTGTTTCAGCATGTTTCATAGGGTCAATCTAGAAGAGGTAACCGTCAATCAGGCGGAAGACAGGACTTGTTCCTCACACTGGATTCTTGATTTTTGTTTGGGTTTGGTGCAGCTTGAGGATGCAGAGCCACCGGAAGCTCCAGCAGAAGCTGCTCCGCCTGCCGCCCCACCGTTTTGGCAGCGCTTCATTTACCAGCTCTTCATCATGTTTTTCCTGACCTTGATGCCATGGTGGACCCCCAACCCAAGGTACGAGTGTTGGACGTTGAAGTGCTCTTTCAGCTTTGCCGTGCTGTGCTGCTGTCAATATTGCTTCTTGCTGTGCAAGTGTAGGTGCAGCTCCCACTTGTCCCTGAAGGTATATGTGAGCCCAAAGCGGGCATCTTTGCCTGAGGCTTTGGCAGGATGGTTTCGCGAGATCTGCAGAGGTTTCACCAAGGGTCGGATATTGTCTGATGGTCAAAGTGCCACCTCAGGGGTAGTTGACGCTCAGTTGAGTGCTGGGAAATGCCTCCAGTGCATGCACATGTGCTGGACATTGGCTAACTTGTGTGTCATGAGTCATGGGTTGATGATGTTTGCCACCGCCTTCCTGAGGTGCGATTCCATGCGTGTCATCAGCCCCAATTCCAAGTTCCGCATCGCTTGGGACCTCTTTGGGGCTTGGCTCATCTACATGGATGCCTTCGTCCTTCCGATGTGTCCCTCGGCGAGGCAAAATCCCGGGCACCGAGGCCAGCGAGCAAGCAGGGAAAGAGAGAGAGAGAGAACCTCTGTGAGGACATCCAAACTACCAATAACAACTATAAGGGTATATATATTTATAACTATATATATATATATATACATACATACGCATACCTGCATATGTGCTCAGCCGAAGCGGGAGGGAATCTCCTGAGCTTTGCTGAAAACCGGACGGTTCTTGGCTAGGCGGCTAGGGGATCTTGAAGGGCGTTTCCCGGACGGTGCTCGTCAAGTCGGCTTGCCCGGCTGGCCCTTGGAAATGATGAAGGCTTCACGCCAGCCTCAGCCTCTGATGGCTTAGTGCCCTGCGAAATTCGCCGACAACCATCTCATGCTGCAGGTATTGCCTGGAACTTGACATTGACTCCATTTCCTACGCCCAATGCTTCTTCAAGCACGATGTTGCACCTGCACCTGCGTCCGAATCAGTAAGCTGTTTTTGCTCCCCTCAAGTGACATGAGCAGACAACATTTTTTTGCTTGCAAATCGACGGAACTGGCAAATTGCCTCATAAGGACTCTCCCCCCTCAAACCAACACAAAGATAGAATATATATCCTGCAGATGAACTTACCGTAGTGGTAGAGGAACACTACATTCCAAGCTGGGTTTGGGGGAGAGAAACTGGACCAAGAACTGAACCGATTTGCTCTTCAGGTTTGCAGCTTTGTCATTTGTCTTCTGGCCTGCTGCATCTTGTCTCAGCATGCGGCTGTGACGTGCTATTGTTGACGCGTATATAGGTGCAACTATTGGAACAGCTTTCTGATGCTTTGTGCAGTCTCCAACTCGCGCGTCATTTGCGGTTGCGAAATGAGCGAGAGAATCGATTCAAAGGACATTTACTTGAACTTCAGCACTGGTTTCTACATGCAGGGCTTCCTCCAGCTATCTCGCAAGGCAACAGTGCGACCGAACACATGCGGGGAAAACAGCCGAGGCCTGTGAATTCTTGTAGGCAGCTGTAACCAGATTCATCCCTAGCCTTCTCAAAGCTTTCGATGCCTTGATCCCGTCCCCCTTTTGAGAACCCTCTCGAAGGGGATGCCCGATTCTCACCATTTCCAGTGGCGCTAGTAGTAGTTTGCAACAGACGTATGTCTATATGTATATTTATTGTTATTAATCATTACTACTACTACTGCTGCTGCTGCCGCTACTACTGCTACTACTACTGCTACTGCTACTGCTACTGCTACTACTATTACTTCTTAGTTTTTTAGACATACACAATTGAACATGGCTTGAGTCACGCATCAGTCAGATTTTCTTGAAATGGCTCATGCTCACCCCCAGGCTATTGCGTGTCGCTATTTGAAGACCTGGTTTGTCTATGATTTTTCCACGGTCTCCGTTGACATCGCCGCAGCTTTTTTGGGCTTGGTGGAAGAGGCGAGCAAAACGTGAATCTGGGAACCAAATGAATAGCGTTAGCTATCCTGAGTCCAGTTACAAGAAGCTTACTTCTCCCTTAATTAAGTAGGCGCCTACTCAATTATATAAGTAAGGAGGCAGGCCACAGGCCAAAAACAAAGAGCAAAGTGTGTGGTTTTGAGGGCCTTGAGCATCTATCCCTGGACATTGATGTCCGCGCCAGGAGTCTCAAGAGTTCTTACAGTCACTACGTTCTGCACGCTACCTGCGTGTTTTGAGACGCTTGCAGTGCATATAGTTCAGTTCAGAACAGAAGACGATTCAGAAACTAGCTCCGATTCAGAAAATACGATTCAGAAACTAGCCGATTCAGAAACTGCAGGCAGGGTGTCCCGATTCAGAAACTACAGTGTCTTTGGGTGGTCTGGTGTGTTGTGACGGTTGACCGTGATCAGGTTCCACGCTGGAGTAGCGTGCAGGAAAGAGGTATATAATATGTGTTTTCTTTTGTCTTCACTCATCTTCCCTAAGGAATTATGCGGATCTTTCGAATCCTGAAAGCAGGGAAGATCAATCTTTTAATCGAGAATCTTGACGCTCGGCTGGCTCGGCTCATCCAGGGGTATGAGGAAAGCCACCGTTTCGAACAGACTGGCCGAATCGAGCATCCAAAAGAAGGGTTTCTTGGACTGACGTTGGGCCCGCATGGATCCTCTTGAGATATGCTTCAACCTGTCACTTGTATAAGCCTGTTCAATAATGAGTTTGCTGATTGCTGTACGTAGGGGGAGGTCATGGCGTCGGTCAAAGCATTGCCGGGACGGGCAGTCTGGGACGGGCTGAGGTGATATCAATGGGCCGACAGTGGTTGATTTTGGCCTTTACAGTGGGGCGAATGCTGCTGGCCATCGGCATGGTAGCTCACATTTTGGCGTGCATTTGGTTTGGCCTTGGCCAGGCTGGTCCAGGGTTTTGTGGTTGTGATGATGCCTCCAATGACGTCCAGGGATACGGGAAGGTTTGACCCCGCTTGATGTAGAATGCGATGCAGCATGCACCAGAATTCTAGAAGCTTCACAGTCGAGCAAGCTCAGATCGTTTAGCTAGCAGGCGTCCTTGGCCGCCTCAATCTCCCCAGGCAGTGGATGAAAGCAGCAATGGAAGAAGCTGGCTGCCCGGCTTCATTGTAAAGCCTTTCCACATAGTGTTCCCAGTCTAGAAGGAGAACCAGCAAAGTAGAGCAGAGAGATGCAGAGAGTGTTGGTCATACTGGCGCTTGGCTGCACTCTGAACTGCTTCCTCCAGCTGCACCGCCAACGCAAGGATTACTTTGGCCGGGGTAGAGAATCGCACCGACGTGGGGATCGGAGTGCAATATGTCCATGCGATTGGCTGGATCCTGTTGCCACCTGCGCCACCAACTTTGCACGCTGTCGCTTGGCAGATGGGGTTGTCGAGTTGTAATCAAAGTGGGTTGGTCAGTTGGTATGTCGCGTGTTACGAGGCTCAGGGTCTTTTGGAAGCACCAGCCGTGTATGCCATGTTGAGCATGGGGGGATATGAGGGATAGGCACTCCGAAGCGAAGGCACGCACCCCGAAGCGACTCGAACGCACGCCGAGGACAGCGGCGCAGAGCATACCGTCTCACTCTTGCTGTTTGTCACCACCGCCGAGAGCTCAGCTATTCGCTCACGCAGACACGCATGCCCACACAGCAATAGACTAGGGGTGTGAAGGAAGAGATGTAGTGATAAGGAAAAGGTCTAAAGAAAAGGTCGAAAGATGCCAAAGTCTAATACATAAATCATATATACAGCAACAGTGGAAAAAGGGTCCAAAGTCCAAAGGTCTAAAGACAAAGACGAAGAACGACAAACAGGGGAAAGAGAAAAGGCCTAAAGGTCTAAAGAATAAAGGAATCAAGAAAAGGTTTGGCCTAAAGAAGTGTGGTGATACATGGTGATACTGTGTGAAGGTGGATCCATGGATCCGCCAGAATGTTAAGTTTCCCTAAAATTCTAGGAAACACATCAATAGCGCGAGCTATCCTGCATCCTACCTAGGAGCGTCCTGTACCTACTAGCTACCTTTCCCTTGCCTAATTATATAAGTAGGGAGGGAGGGGGAGCGGGCTAAAAAGAAGAGGGGATATTATGGCGGTTATCTTGTTTTGTGGACGCCAACTGCAGGTCTTGGTGATTGGCTCAGCCCTGTCCATCCTCACTGGCACCCTCCATGAGATCCGGCAGGTAAACAACGAGCGTAGCAGTGCCTGGATGTCATCTCGATTCTTCGTTTTTCTCCGCCATGGACTCTTCAATTCTTCCTGCCTTGGATTTTTGATATGAATTCAAATTCTTCATCTTGAATTCGATGATCTTCATTCATCCCAGGAAAGCGCAGGGAGCTGCGGATCTTTCTCCAGACCAAGGCGGTGCCAACAGAGTTTCGTGGCACCAACAGGGCCGCCGGTGGCCCGAACAAACGGAGCTTCCAATGTTCGGAGCTCGAGGATCAACGGATCACTTGCTTGGCATGAATATGTATGAATCTGTCGAAACAGGTGCTGAACCCTTTTCATAGGTTCGGATTTATTTTAGAATTACGTATCATTTTTCCTTTTATAACCTATGTATGTTTCTTGCTCTTGGCTGCTGTTTTACAAAGGAAAGGTGCAAAAGGAAAAAGGACAACAAAAAAGAAAACGGACAAGCAAAGGGCAAGGAAATGGAAATGGAAAAAGAAAGGGAAAAGGAACAGGGATAAGGTCCAGGTTGACAAAAATCTGAATAACACCGATACCTTCTTACATCTGGCAGCTGTGCCTGGGACTTCACATTCCTCTGATGATGGACTAGTGAGTAACATCCACCCATCACAGCAGAACAAAGGTTGAAATGGTCAGCCTTGGTTGCCAAAAGCCACAACCAATGCAAGCACGATCGTTGCCAACTCTTGGATTCTGAGTGTAGTGACCAGGATACAATAGAAGAGAATAACTGTCATATCATGCCATATCTTGATATATTTAGGGTATATCACGTTCCGTGCAACGGTGTCAAAGCCCAAGCCAACCAAAGCCATGAAAGGCCAAAGCCAACAGAAGCCAAAGGCCGACACAAGCCACCAAAAGCCGACCGAAGCCACCAAAAGTCAACAGAAACCACCAAAAGCCAACAAAAGCCAGAAGCCAACACAAGCCACAAAAAGCCAACCGAAGCCACGAAAGTCAACAGAAACCAACAGAAGCCAGCAAAAGCCACAAGCCACCAAAAGCCACAAGCCCGCAAAAGGCAAAAGCTATCAACAAAAAATACAACATTAAGACACAATAGTTCCAAAATAGATATACACTCCCTTTTCATTGTTGAGGGTTGAATTCCGATCGCAGAAAGGTTCCCTGAAGATTCAGAAGAAAAGGTGGCTAGATTTATGCAACTCGTGCAGGCGGTTCCAGCTTACCTGTGCGTCGCAGCATGAGGTTGTTGATGCGCATTATGAGCTATGCCGACTACAAGATGGCGCGCCAGTCCCCGTGCCTTTCCTGAGAAGGTTTCCAAGAACACTGGAGAAAACAGACGAAACTCTACACTACCTCCCGCTGCAACTCCAGCTACTCTTTGCCTTGAAGGCAAACAAGTCAAGGGTGGTTGGGCCATATTAGGGTCCGATATGCTTTTTTAAGTGCGTTTCTTGAGGATTGGGTATGACACAAGTCTTATCTCGCCTATGCTGGAAGCGGAGTTGGCAACATTTCAGTTCGGAGGCCACTTGGCCATCATTTCTGAGCTGTTCAATGCCCAGGCATTGGTGTTGCCTCTTTGCACCCAGTACTCAGTGTTGATATATGAGTATGGTCACCGACGGATACCATGGCCAAAAAAGGGCAAGACCTTCACACGTGATAGTAACATGTTGCAGTATTGAACGAGCTTGAACCAGCCTGGTGGTAGTGCAAGTCGTATGGCCAAGAACATTTCGCCAACATAGATGTGGAAATCATCGGACAGCATCTTACCAGAGACACGCTGATACATCTGTACATGCAAAAGCTTCGCTACATCCTCAGGCAATCTGCAGAAACATCCCTTCTTCGATCTGACCTCAAATATTTTCCCGCCACTTTGCAGCAGATTGATATGGCTTGAGCTTCCTGAAATGGCAGGACCCTTTTAAGAAGCCCAGGCAGACATTCGCAGACTTCTGCGGTGCTCTTGTCAAGCAGTTCTATAGTGAGGCTCGAAGACAATTGTTGTCCTTCTGAAATGCTCCACATATTTTCATGTCTGAGCGAATGGCTTAGCCTAAGCTTCGAAATCCCAAGACAATGTTGGTTGGTGGACTCCTTATATATCTTATACACGCACACATATATATATATATATAATGCTAAGGCAGTGTCCCGTACTGCAGAAAATGTACTCCGAGTGGGAAGACAAATATTGAAACTCAAGGATAGATTGGGTGGTAGAAGAGGTCGACCCACGCCGAGTCAGCTTTGGGCGACAGGGGGAGTCCGTCTTCACTGCGGGCTCTTTGGCAGAGATGATGTACATCACTAGCCATGGGGATTTCTCCTTAGGCTCGGGTATGGCTGGGGATTCTGCGCTTGCTGCTCGGGCCAGTGAGAAGGGTAGGGTCACCATTATTGAACTTTGATGAGATTTGCGGATGTGTGGCCGTTTATGTGTTTATTTACATATATACTCATATCCACACACACACACACTCTGACATTGGTTTTCCGTTAACTCAATTCCCAAGTGGAAAAAGGTGAGAGAACTGCATGGCGAAAGGTCCAGGAAAGTGTAGGTGTTTCAACAAAATGGTTTTCGCACTTGACTGCGGAAAGCGCACAGCGGCACAGCGGCTGCAGGTCGGCGGTGGGAGAAAGTTTAGGGGAGGTATCGTGGAACCACCATGGAAGCAAACAAGAGAGATTGGAACAGCTTGGTCAAAAGTTAAGCGCAGGTACGTCGAAAGAGCGTCCTCTTTCGATATCCTAGTCTGAACCTGGAGCTTCGTTGGCTCACGCCAGGAACAGACCCGTGAGCCCCCTGCTTGGTAGTACAATTGGTAGGAAGTAGCCGCTTGGAGACAGGGGGTGGCACACACACACGGTGCCGCTTTGCGGCGCTCGTGCGAAGAGCCTGAATAGTTACCTAAAAAGCCTTAGAAACAAAAGAAAGAAACACAGAAAGAGCAGCGCTAAGAGGGCAAGAGAGAAAGGTAGGAGTAGAAAAAAGTGAATACTTAGCCCTTGACTGGGGTAGGGAAACGAGCCTCAAGATAAAAAGCCTGAGAGAAAGCCCAAGAAGCGACCAAAAGCGCAAGAAAGAAAGGGGGGGGGCAGGGAGGTGTATGTACATGTGTGTGTGTGTCCGTGTGTGTGTGTGTATGAATACTTAGCACTCTAGAATTACTGATTAAGTGAATTAAATGCAATCAATAGTTAGGGAGCGGGACTTTAGTCTTAGACCGCCCGGGTAGAGAAGACTAGAACAGGGACAACAAAGGGAAAGGCACCGACACACAAGTGTGTCGAGTACCATTTCCCTGTGTTGCCCTAATTAGGTAGGGAGTAGAACTCGGTGGGGGGGGGGGTTTGGGAAACCTGCCTCAAGTGGGTTGAATTCCGTTTTTTAGCCCGGCGGCTGTGGTATCCGTGAAAGCCCGGTGGCTCCAGATTCCGACAATTCAGTAGTGAGACTAAGCCTGTTAAGAGAATTCACGATGAAAAACGATGAATCCGTTAGACGATTTCCGGCATGAGAACGGCGCCTCCTTGCGGAGGATCACACCCAGCACCCAAGTGGGACGGCTGAGCGGTTCACACTCTGACATTGGTTTTCCGTTAACTCAATTCCCAAGTGGAAAAAGGTGAGAGAACTGCATGGCGAAAGGTCCAGGAAAGTGTAGGTGTTTCAACAAAATGGTTTTCGCACTTGACTGCGGAAAGCGCACAGCGGCACAGCGGCTGCAGGTCGGCGGTGGGAAAAAGTTTAGGGGAGGTATCGTGGAACCACCATGGAAGCAAACAAGAGAGATTGGAACAGCTTGGTCAAAAGTTAAGCGCAGGTACGTCGAAAGAGCGTCCTCTTTCGACATCCTAGTCTGAACCTGGAGCTTCGTGGAACAGACCCGTGAGCCCCCTGCTTGGTAGCACAATTGGTAGGAAGTAACCCTTGGAGACAGGGGGTGGCACACACACACACATTCATATATAATTACACACATAGATAGATACCGTATAGATTTATGCGTGCACCCTTTTTGAGGTTTTCTTCACTGCCACTGGCAAATGGCAATGCTTGTGCTTGAAGAAATTCTCCACTTTGTCTCCAGAACCCTGTTTTTATTGCAGGAGCAGTTCGTAGCGTAGCAGTTCCACTACACACTTGCCACCGTTCCCTGCGCACTTTCTTGCCAAGATTTCCAAGTCATGCTGTACCTTTTGGGGGCCCTCGCCTGGTCCTTGTTGTCGCCACGTATTGCTTTCAAGACAAATTGCATGGCCCTTTTTCGAAGGGTTCTGTGACGCCGTTGCCTCTCAGATACCCGGTGCCCAAGAGACGCGGCCAGTCTGAGAGTCTTCAGAACCACCTTCTCCCTTCTCCACAGGCGACGATGAGACCCATGCCAGCAGAACCTTCAGTGGGAACCACAACTACTTCGCCGAGGCCGTAAAGAAGAAGCGCTCGGGTCCCGATGGATCCGGGACCTCGGTGCGGGACCTGCTTCGAAATCCGGTCGATCGGTGGCCCAACAGGTCTCCCTTTATGTGGAAGCAGTGATGCACAATTGCACCCTGCAAGCCGAGTCCTTCGGAGAGGCGCCGGGCCTGTGGAGTCTGGGAGTGGACACCTTTGTTGCGTCAAGAAGTCAGGGAAAGAAAAGACACGAAGGGTCTAAAATGGTCTAAATGAAACGACAGGAACAGAAAGAATCATAAAGAATCTGACTTTGCCACCGTGTATTTGAGTCGTTTAGACTGACAGAGCGCCCCGTATCTGTGTGTGCACGGGGCCGCTGCAGAGGTCTTTGTCCTGACGGGCTCCAAGCTGGCTTCAGTGCTGAGCCTTGTCCTTGAAAAAGAGCATCTCGATATCCAGATGGTTTGGTTTCAACATGGGGCACTTACACTTAGCACATGTTTTTGCACACATTCCCGGCCCCTTATTTGGGGACACCACACTAATCAGTCCACACCCAATCGGAGGGAACGTTTCAAGAGTGAACCACCAAGGGCATCAGTCTTGTTTGGGTTTCCTTCACATCCAGCAAGGCTTGAACCATAGCCATGTGGACTTGCTGTGGACTTGTTACCAGCGTCTATTTGTGCTCTCCCGTTGTGCTCTGGTGACGACGTCAGGTTCGGACCGAAGGTGAGCCCTTCTCGGACCTTTTTGGAATTCTTGTACTGGGGGATTTGTGTGCAGATGCAGGGGGTTTCTCAAGTACATTTTATGAGGGGTGTGCTGCGTGCTGTCATCGTGCAATACACTGAATCACTTTGAAGTAACTACCCAGCCCACGCTCCTAGCAAAAAAACCAGGCAATCTCGGCAATCTCAAGAACATCTGTGATAAAGAAGGAACATCCCAGTTTAGTTTTTGAATGCAGCTGCAGATGTGTCCAGTGGCATCAGACCTCAGGGCAAACTCTCCGATGTGCACCACGATGTTCATTGAATACGCCAACCAGCACCTCGGCAGCCAGCGCAAGACAATGATCAACTTGTGTTTGTACCCGTCAACCAGCAGCTCCTTTTTGAAGGGCGGCATGTTCCATACACTTAGTTTTGGTAGCTGAATGACATGGACTGCTGTGTGCATTTGATTTTCCTGCGTCAGCTGCTGTGACCCAGCATTTGTTTCTCTTTCCCAGTTCTTGGCATTAGCAATTCCACCGCAACACAAGCAAGTGGATCATACTTGTTGCAATGTTTCGCACAACATGAGGGGAAGCCAATGGCCTCGCCACATAGTGTGGCGGTTCTTCGTCTCACCCATTATGCCATTGCGAACGCCCACGACGCGCGGGTCTTCTGAGAGACGCCCAGTCTCGGTGCCATTGTGAGGTACATCCGAGCCTACTCCGATGCGATGAGCCGGAAGGAGCATGACGATGCTTTGGAAATGGAGAGGGCCTGTGCTTCAAAAGCGACCTTCACAAATTCGCTGCTTGGCTGCGTGACACGCAGACGCAGGAGATTTCGGCGGTCGTGTTTTTGTTTTTTTCTTCATTTTTGCCTCAGACGAGTCACTGTCCCGCATGGATCACTGTGCATGTTTGGTCTCAAGGCTCGCCAACAAGATGTTTGCGGCAGTTTGCCTGGTATCCTTCACCCTCCTTCACCTAGTGTTTGTTTTCCATTTGTGCCAAGCTGGTAACCCTGGTATATACCCTTTATGAAGCCGATGATAGTGGATGACTCATTGAGTTATGAGTGTGACACTCGCATCTCTCAATCACTCAGACACCTTGAGGGCTGACTTCCACCAGGAGCCAGTCAAAATGTGCTGTTTCCCACGTGCACGACCAGATGAGCGAAGTGCTCCCCCTGTTCTCCCCGCATGTTTGACAACACAGGTTCTACATGGATTTGAACGTGGATGAGCGCAGCTCGTTTCTGAACTCGTTTGGATTGAGTGAATGGGAATTTTCTTTGTGTGGACACCTTGGTTGGTTTCCAACGTATGATGCGCATATCAATCAAGAGTTGTCCGCGGGTAGAACTCACGAGTGAGACAGACAAAGGGGACAGTGTTGGACTTGGTTGATACGTCAGTGACCGTCACTAGTGCACGCCTTTCGGGACTTGAAGTGCCCTCCCCATCCTTTGCAAAGTTTCTATAGTGCACGCTTTCGCAGGTGCTTCACTCAGCCCAATGGTTGCATTCAGCTTTCACCCGGGTCTCTGCCAATGCGGGACCACTTCTTTCAGTCTTGAAAGTTCTTCAAGATCTGAGCTTGGTGTCCCCCGCTGTCCATGTTTGAGCTTTCGGTACTTTCCATCCCGCCGTCCCGCTGCCTGTGAGGGAAGATGCTCAGATCAATTAACCTAAAGGAGCTGCAAGAGCAGGAGAGAGAGTTCTTTGTGATGGGCCAATGGAGTGGCACGTGGATTGGGAGTGGCATCAATTTCTACAAGATGGGATTCTTTCAATGCTTATGTGGCAGTTAGACCAATCAGCCGAACACCCTTGGTGTGACTTACGGACCCGTTTTGATGAGTGGATGAGGCGGTCTCACCAGTCGCAGGAGGACCGGTCAACGCCCCTGGAGTTTGTTGAACAAGTGCTGATGAGCAATCAACCGCAGCATGGCCTCAGAAAGGGTGGCGTGGTGGTGCTCTCAAGTCCTTTTTCAGGGTGGCCGGGCCTAGTTGGTGAGCACTAATCGCCTCTCTGTTGCAGGTGCACATACTAACCACCGCTCTTTTGCAGGTGTGCATAGCTGCAAAGACATTCAGCAACCTGTGGCAGATGTAGATTTGACATGATTTGACCTGCTTCAACTATCACACACTGTCCCCTTAACTTTTATGAGGGCGTTTCTTGATTCAGTGTGCATGCGTGGAGCAATTCATAAGCCAAGTGCTAAAGTGACTTTTGTCCCTTTGAAGTGGTGGAGTGGTTCAACTCTTTGCACCAGCTCCAGCTCCCAGCTCTAAGGGAATTCCTTGACCAGCTGCGCAAGTCCTTTGTGGAGCTTGACACTGCTGATGGCCTTCACACAAGGCTGTTCCATGCTGTTCGTGGGGATTTGTTTGCGGGGGTCTTTTGACTTACCGTATCACGCATGCCGCATGACCATCCTTCACCACCGAGGGCGTTCCGTCGCATGACTTGCCCGGTGGGAAGCCCACGGCAACTCAGCGAGGAGCGTCGCCAGCGAGGTACGGCGAGCTCAAAGAGCAAGAAAAGGTCGAGAGCGGCATCCTGAGCTTGGTGGCCTTGGCGCGAGGCGACTACGAGGTGCCAAGGGCGTCGGGTGGTGAGACAGGTGCCATGGGTGCGATGAACAGGGGAGCAGGTAGAGAGACGTTCGGACAGAGAAGCTTTCCTTTTTGCAGCCGGCTCTCACTGTAGACATTTGCAAGTCTAGGTGAACTTGCAGAGATCTTGAAGGTTTGCACGTGTTCCTGTGAATGTGTTTGTGTGCGCGCGCGCGAAAATCTATAGAGTTGTAAACCGTTTGACTTTTGTTATTTTTGTATTCCCTGGTTCTGCTTCTCTGATTCTTTGCATGTTTGTTTTTCGCTTCTTTGTTTGTTTGCCTTTTTGCTTGTCGACGGTTCTTCTTGCTTTCTGCTTCTCTACCTTCGTGCTTCTCTGCTTTCTTGCTTGCTTCCTTGCTTCCTTCCGCTTGCTTGCTTCCCTTGCCTTGCTTTGCTTTGGCTTGCTTGCTTGCTTCCTTGCTTCCTTCCGCTTGCTTGCTTGCTTCCTTCCTTGCTTCCTTGCTTGCTTGCTTGCTCGCTCGCTTGCTTGTTTGCTTCCTTGCTTGCTTGCTGGCTGGCTGGCTTGCTTGCTTCCTTGCTTCCTTCCGCTTGCTTTGTTCCTTCCCTCCTTCCCCTCCTTCCCCTCCTTCCCTCCTTCCCCTCCTTCCCCTCCTTCCCCTCCTTCCCCTCCTTCCC